TACCTATGATGAGTATCATACCTATGATGAGTATCATACCTATGATGAGTATCATACCTGTGATGAGTATCATACCTGTGATGAGTATCATGCCTGTGATGAGTATCATATCTGTGATGAGTATCATACCTATGATGAGCATCATACCTATGATGAGTATCATACCTGTGATGAGTATCATACCTGTGATGAGTATCATGCCTGTGATGAGTATCATATCTGTGATGAGAAATCATACCTATGATGAGTATCATACCTATGATGAGTATCATACCTGTGATGAGTATCATACCTGTGATGAGTATCATGCCTGTGATGAGTATCATATCTGTGATGAGTATCATACCTGTGATGAGCATCATACCTGTGATGAGTATCATACCTGTGATGAGTATCATACCTGTGATGAGTATCATACCTGTGATGAGTATCATGCCTGTGATGAGTATCATATCTGTGATGAGTATCATACCTGTGATGAGCATCATACCTGTGATGAGTATTATACCTGTGATGAGTATCATACCTGTGATGAGTATCATACTTGTGATGAGTATCATACCTGTGATGAGTATCATACCTGTGATGAGTATCATGCCTGTGATGAGTATCCTATCTGTGATGAGCATCATACCTGTGATGAGTATCATGCCTGTGATGAGTATCATATCTGTGATGAGCATCATACCTGTGATGAGTGTCATACCTGTGATGAGTATCATACCTGTGATGAGTATCATACCTGTGATGAGTATCATACTTGTGATGAGTATCATACCTGTGATGAGTATCATACCTGTGATGAGTATCATACTTGTGATGAGTATCATACCTGTCATGAGTATCATACCTGTCATGAGTATCATACCTGTGATGAGTATCATACCTGTGATGAGTATCATGCCTGTGATGAGTATCATATCTGTGATGAGTATCATACCTATGATGAGTATCATACCTATGATGAGTATCATACCTGTGATGAGTATCATAACCTGTGATGGTATCATGCCTGTGATGAGTATCATATCTGTGATGAGTATCATACCTGTGATGAGCATCATACCTGTGATGAGTATCATACCTGTGATGAGTATCATACCTGTGATGAGTATCATACCTGTGATGAGTATCATACCTGTGATGAGTATCATACTTGTGATGAGTATCATACCTGTCATGAGTATCATACCTGTCATGAGTATCATACCTGTGATGAGTGTCATACCTGTGATGAGTATCATGCCTGTGATGAGTATCATATCTGTGATGAGTATCATACTATGATGAGTATCATCCCTATGATGATTATCATACCTGTGATGAGTATCATACCTGTGATGAGTATCATGCCTGTGATGAGTATTCATATCTGTGATGAGTATCATACCTGTGATGAGCATCATACCTGTGATGAGTATCATACCTGTGATGAGTATCATACCTGTGATGAGTATCATACCTGTGATGAGTATCATGCCTGTGATGAGTATCATATCTGTGATGAGTATCATACCTGTGATGAGCATCATACCTGTGATGAGTATCATACCTGTGATGAGTATCATACCTGTGATGAGTATCATACTTGTGATGAGTATCATACCTGTGATGAGTATCATACCTGTGATGAGTATCATGCCTGTGATGAGTATCCTATCTGTGATGAGCATCATACCTGTGATGAGTATCATGCCTGTGATGAGTATCATATCTGTGATGAGCATCATACCTGTGATGAGTATCATACCTGTGATGAGTATCATACCTGTGATGAGTATCATACCTGTGATGAGTATCATACTTGTGATGAGTATCATACCTGTGATGAGTATCATACCTGTGATGAGTATCATACTTGTGATGAGTATCATACCTGTCATGAGTATCATACCTGTCATGAGTATCATACCTGTGATGAGCATCATACCTGTGATGAGTATCATACTTGTGATAAGTGTCATACCTGTGGTGAGTGTCATACCTGTGTTGAGTATCATACTTGTGATGAATATCATACTTGTGATGAATATCATACCTGTGATGAGTGTCATACCTGTGATGAGTATCATACCTGTGATGAGTATCATACCTGTAATGAGTACCATACCTGTGATGAGTATCATACCTGTAATGAGTATCATACCTGTGATGAATATCATACCTGTAATGAGTATCATACCTGTGATGAATATCATACCTGTGATGAGTGTCATACCTGTGATGGGTATCATACCTGTGATGAGTATCATACTTGTGATGAGTATCATACCTGTGATGAGTATCATGCCTGTGTTGAGTATCATACCTGTGATGAGTATCATACCTGTGATGAGTATCATACTTGTGATGAGTATCATACCTGTCATGAGTATCATACCTGTCATGAGTATCATACCTGTGATGAGCATCATACCTGTGATGAGTATCATACTTGTGATAAGTGTCATACCTGTGGTGAGTGTCATACCTGTGTTGAGTATCATACTTGTGATGAATATCATACTTGTGATGAATATCATACCTGTGATGAGTGTCATACCTGTGATGAGTATCATACCTGTGATGAGTATCATAC